AACTTTAAAAAAAAAATGCTGAAAAAATAGATCAATAATGTTTTAATAATTTACGTGTCCACATGGTGATATTATTCTGTAAATATCTTAGTGTTTTGTGTTAAATACTAATGACAACCAGTATTTGCATCAAATATGTGCTATATATAATATCATAAGCACAACGAAATTAGCGTAGCTAAAATCTAATTACGAAGAAATAGCCGACGAGATGAAACCCAAATAAAGTGGATAGTAGCATACTAGCATGTAATATTTAGTATATTTAAACGTTAATAAATTGCGTATAAATAGTAACGTCTCCAAACCACCAAAAATAGACGTTAGATTTATTTTCATTCTAGATCATCACAACTTCTGATTCAACTAATTGTGTTCGTTATCGGAATTATTGCCTATGCTAATACTATAGTTAATAAATTATCAAAAATTATAATAAGCTGCAAATTTTAATCATCAGAAATAAAGAACTAACTATCACTAATTATCATAAAACTTAGAGTAACTGTTTCAAAAACATATTAAAGTTGAAAATGTATGATAATGCAAATTTATATGTTATAAAAATTGATAAATATGTACAAAACAAATTAAAAAAACTCTATTTTAATACACATTTTATCGTTCACAAGTAACTCTTAAAAGTTCAATTTTCTCGTTTTATTAAGAGTTGCGATTATTTTAATAAAATTCATCATGAGGTATTTTATTTATCCTATTATACCACTGACAGTTGTTGCCAATGTAATCCTATATTTATTTATGATAATCGATTGTTTTTATTTTAATCATCGTTTCGGAAATCTAATCCTTATTAGCGAAAACCTTTATAATATCGTATGTAAAAAGATAATATTATTATGTATCATAATAAACTGCATAACATGTTTTTAAATCATGTAAATGTTTTAAGAGTCTAAAACAAATTATAAACCAACATTGAATTGTTAACAACATTATATTGCATATTATTCATAGACAATTTATCGTTATCCAACTGCTGTAATAGACAAACGCTTATATTATTATATATTATTACATATATATATATATATATATATATATATATATATATATATATATTCTGTCAATAATTGCGTTTCATATACTTTTTGATATGCATATATTTCCTTTAACTCGAATAAGGCAGTAACATCATAAGAAAAGGCTAACAGTATTATAATATCACCCATGGATGTCCAAATTGTATATTATTTCTTTTTTAAATTAAACTCACACTGTTTTTATCTGGATCTCTTCTTAATTTAATCCACGTTTAACCTGTGTTCCTTTTTTGTGTTCTACAATAATGCGCAAATTACTTTTATTTTTTGTTCTAGCATTTTTAAATGATTTTTGACGTCATTAACCAATGATCGATCAGACTTAAAAAGTAAATTAATCCAAAAATTGTATTTAATATTAAATAGTTCTTTAATTTATCTTTGAGTACAGCATAATATTACGTTACATCATTTTAATATAGTGCTTTGAAATATTAGAGAAAAGTGCTAAAATGAACACTTAATGTATTAGAAAACTGAATTTCGTACTATTATAATGATAACTCAACTCAAACTATACCATACAGTAAACGAATTTGAAAGTACAAAAATCAATTTGTACAGCATTTTTTTTGAAATTTAGTTTTATAACTAAAATTTTAATGGATATTATTTAAAATATTATGTTTTATCATGTACAAAATATATTTTATTAATGAATAAAACGGATAAAAATGACAATAGATTCAAAAATTTAACAATTCATGTTTATTTATCTGATTTAAAAATAAGATTTTATGTTTTTTTTTTTTTTCAAAATGTAAATAAGTTATACTGAACATGTTTTGTATGTCAGTTGAAGACATTATCCATATAAATGATCAGTCTCTGTTTTTAACTTAAAGTATTGATTCAAATTTAAGTACACTAAAATATGTATTATTTAACTCTCGAAATCATTAAAATGTTCATGTTTTGATAGGACAGGTTAGGTATAATTTTAATATACATATTGCGTTCGTAATACGTGCAATGTACACGATAATGATATATTATGCATATCTCTCTAATGATTTTCTGAGAACATTTCATTTCTTGTGAACATTTTGAGTGTACTTAGTCTATTCTTCCTCACGTTAGGGTCGTTCTTATTTTTTTGTTTCATGTATTTTGATACTCTTACTGTAATTAAAGTTGAATATCGGTCCATAGTTTTACCCTCGTTAACTGGGAGGCGTGTGGCAGGGGAAAGGTCCGTCAACATTGCGTGCATTTATAAACCGTATAATAATAACCGTAATGATAATAATATTATTATTATTATAAGTGTTTGTACCATGGCCCAGGCAAATTTTTAACGAAGGGTGAACACCGTACACACACACACATACATTTAAACCTATATAGTATATTATATATAGTTTACGTTTTGTTTTGTTTTTGTATCATGCATTGCATTATATAATTTTTATTCACATCACACCCGCCGCCGGAGCGTAACCCCACACAGCAACATTGCCCGTCCACAGATACAAAAATATTGCAAATCCGTTTCCAGTTATAAAATATGGTCCGTGGATTACACGATGATTATAATTTGATTTAGAGAACGCCGTGACAGGCAGGCATACACGATTTTTATTGGGCCACCCCAGGACAAAAGGTTAAACCTCCAGATTTTTTTTACCGGTGGGGTAAAAAATAAAAACAAAATAAAAACAAAATATTATAATATAAACATGAACATCCGTACACATATTCAAATGTATACTACGTGTGCGAAAAAACATCGTGCGTGTACATTTTGTTTACAGAAAGTATGCATGTAAATTGTAGATAGATAGGTAGATACTAGTAAAATGTTCATTTTCCTCAGCTAAAAGCGGCTGTCGGAAGGTCGTCGAATATATATTTACCACCTCAACAGTAATGATAATAAAGTGAAACGGACTGGAAAAAATAATATTTACCATACCTTATTATCCCGTCGTGTGTGATGAAAAAAAAAAAATGAAAGAAGTCTAACGAATTAAATATATCTGTCGAATAATACACGCGGATAAAAAATGAATTTGTTGAATAAAACGTCGGAAGTAGATAATATTGCTTAAAAGCTAAACTTTTTGATTCCCAGTAAAGAAATATTGTGTAATACATATTCGTTGATGTTCATATAATGCATAATAAAGGCGCACATTTATGACACACTTGGTTAAATGAAACGAAAAAAAGGAATCGTAGTTACTTCTAAAGTATTTTCTTCTACCAACCATAAACATTTCAGATTAACGTACTATACATTTATTATAGTACATATTGTTCAACGAACAAGCATTACTCATTAGTAATTAGTAATTAAAAATACATAAAAACTAACTTATCATGTATGTGCATAATACATATTAAAATAATACTTTATTTTTTTATAAACTTAGCAAAGTTAAATTATACCAAACAACTATTTCATACAATATACAACTCATTATTTCGAAATCTTTATTTTTTAATATCGTATACTAAAGCGGAATATTTTTTGGAGTATTTCAATACAATCAAAATTTGAACGAATAGTTTATGAGTTATGGGTATTAAAAGTTTTGGTGAATAGAGTAGAGAGGTACGGGGATACCCTTCAAAATGTTGGTGTACTACTCTGCTCGCCTAAACTTTAAATACTTTAAAATCATAAATGCTATAAAAAAATGTTGTTTTATTTCGACTGAAAATTATGTAAACATTTTATTTTTTCAAATAGTTTTTATATTTTGAAATAATGACTGTTGTTTATAAACGGATCATGCTGTATGTTATTATAAGGGAAGGACTAAAATTAATTATTTAGTTTAAAAATATTTTCATTTGGTTTAAAATTTTAGTAAATATATTTTAAATAAATTTTATGATTTTAATATTAAAGTATAATTTCCGTGAGTCAATGACATATTAATAATTCTGTATACTAATAGCCACGAGTTAATTTTTGGTGAATCTATCGTTTCATGGATAATATAAATAATTTTGGTAGATTAATATTAGCATTGTTATTATATACATTTTCCAGTACCATTTTGGATGGCTATTTTAAACTAAATTTACCTGCAGTGTCACCAACGCCGCCAACATAATTTCCTTGTGTGCGTATAATATATTATTATACATAATATATATAGACGTACGATCACCACAACAGTCAGCGACGTGAGCTTATTGGATTTTTATGTTTTTTTTTTTTTTATTTATTCTCATTCGGGAAAGATAGGTTGCGTAGTATTACTATAACAAAAAAAAATCTCTAGCTGGCAAAGAAATATTAAAAAAAAAAAAAAATTGTTCGGCGTCCTTTCAATTCAGTTTTTGCGTTCCGAGAATTTGAATAATAATAATAATAATAATAATAATAATAATAATAATAATAATAATTGAACGTCTTATTGTCTTTTGGTCAGTTGAGCTTCTGTAAAAATAAAAAGACACTATAGCATATTCGTAATATATGCATATTAAAATATTTATTTTATTATTACATAGCCGTTACGTATTGTACATGCACCAGCTCTCGCATCTACATGATTTACTGTATAATAATATTATACCCTCTCATTATATACGTCATAAGTAATGCTGTAGTCTTACGCGAAAGCGATGGACAATATCCGGTGCATGTATACGAGATTCGTTTAAAATGTATTATTTCGGTACGTTTACTAAAAGTGAATTTCAATTAAGAGGCTCTGCAGCCGCCGCTCACGAACCGGAAACGAATTCGTTCCGGGCATTTGAGGGAAACCGGAAACCCAAAGACAATCGACCGTTTTAGCATATTATTATTGTTATACGTCTACACTTTATTATTCTCTCTCGCTAACGGCCGTTGTCCCGCGTGTAATCTTGCGGCTGATTATCAATACTAGACACTCACTAACGCAAATCATCGTATTCCCTAATTTAAAAATCACACTGATTACATAACGTTTTATTTATCTTTCCACAGGTTGCAACGCAAAGATTGAAAATCAGTTCAAGCTACAGTCCGCACCCGTTTTACGTGAACGTGAGTATATACACAACATTATCTGATACAATTTTCAGGCAGATTTGAGATTTCTGGACACGAATATCGTGTTTTTGAATTTAGAATAACAGTGCGAATAAGGTTATGTCTTTGTGTGTTTTCAATAATACTGAGTATACGTCATTTTACTCGTAGATTGTTAGTGGCGGATTTAAAGGAGCAGTAATGTGGATATTAGTTGATTTAGCTTTTCCGCGTGTGTGCCCTTGGACTCGGAATCCTCAAAAATTTCATTTTTTCTATTAAAAACAAAAATAAAAATAGTTCGATATAACAACATGAATTATGTGTCATGTGTGTATGCTATATTTACGGTGTTACTATAAGTAATAATAATAGTTATTACATTTTAAACGCGAACTTTCATAAATCAACTATCTATATTTGAACGTTTATTATTAATGAATAATATATCATAATCGTCTATGATTATAAATGTTATAAATCAATGATAATAAAATTAAAACAATAACAATCGTATGGCCGAGTATTATTTATATAGTCGTTATATTAATTTTTGAGTATTGTTTTCTAAAAGTTTTTTTTCACCATTAAAAGTTTGCTTAGGATAAAACTCTTATGGCTATAATTATAACTTTGATTGTGTATTTTATGATCAGTTATATCATTTTTCGTAGTTAAATCCTATATATTTTAATTCGAAATATTGATTTAAAAAAGGAAATATTGCCTCGAAACTTGATAACTATCTAATTATTTCATTGTACCCTGCATGTCGGTGAACTTGTTTATTTCCCTTAAATCCGCCACTATCTATTGAATATTATAAATACTTAAACAATATAACCTATATAAACTATTTATTAAATATAGACTATTGTCACTTAAATACTAAGCAATTGTAAAAAGGTGTAAAGAAAAGTCAATGCATGGAAAATATTATATTGCACGTTTTTGTTTTTTTTATTATTACTAATACTTTATTAGTATAAGAAAAATGGTTTTGCATATCAGATACTATTAATTTTTATAAGGACCATAGAAACTTGAATAATTTAATGAACAAATACATTATTTTAACATTATTTTGTATATATTCTCACTATTATAAAATAATGTGCACGATTGGGATAACACATCGTGAGTGTTATGAGATAAACCTAAAGCAAAAATGCTTAGCATATGAACGCTGACATAACCTAACATACCGGCTGAACCTAAATATAATTAAATCTAAAACATTTGCAAATATAAATTCTGCACCTATATTAAATTATTATTTTTATCATTTTTTTTTTTTTTTTGCTTATATGTATGAATTACGTGCTTTAATTTACAAAAGCATATACATTATTTTTATATTGAATTAGATAAAAACGCACCATGACGTATATATTTTATTAAGTTTAAATTAAATTATTATTATATTCTATAAGTCTGAATGATAGCAGTTGTTTTATCAATAATATAAAATGTACAAACTAAAAAGAACATTCATAAATTATTTTTTTTATTTTTTAAAATATTTGCCTACAATGCTTCAAACTAAACATATATGTTCAAAATTAGTCTCAAATTAATTATTAATAACACGATTATCTTACGATAATAACTGAATATTCTACAAATACATTTCAGCTGTTTCAAGTTAGTTGTATTGCTAATATTTATTTTGTTGTTTAAAATCATATTTATGCTGATGATTTGAATCATAACACGACCACCACTATAGTGCATATTTCCATCTCAAATAGTTTTCTGATTTTATTCGACTTTATACTATACCTTTTTAATCCACTGGTTCATTCAGTCAAGAAATATTTTGATCATTTTAATTTTAAATTATTTGAACTTTACCATTTTACTTTATACTCATGAATAAAACTGTTTGAATTTTATCGATTTTAATTTCAAATTAGAATCAAATATCACTGACACAAACGTGACTTGAAACTATTTTTCACTGTTAAAGTATTTAGATAATATTTCACTTTGTCAATATACTGTAATAACTACCAAGTTTGAAGTATTACTTTAATTTTAAATAAATCTTTAAGTATATCATATATTTATTCGTATTAAAAGTAATTTGAGACATTTAAATTTAATAATTAATGCAGAAAACTTAAAATCGTGCAACTATATCATTAATTTGTCTACCCTAATCTGGATTATTTGGGCTCTGATAATCATTAATGGGGATGATTTTTTTTTTCCATTTTTATGAGACGTTTATTTTGATTAAGTGTTCTTGTGCATATAAATGTATTGTTTAATATTATTTTAATGCTTTTAAAACTATCAAAATATAAGACATCTAAATACAAATAGTTGGATGAGATCCATAATCACTTTAGCATATTGCTATTTATGTAAAGCATCTTTCAATTTAGCAGATTTAAAAACTAAACAGCTATTAGCAACAGATGAAATCGATGTTGAATTACTTTTTGTCATCTTGCAATAACACTAATGTTCCCACATTACTATACAATCATGAGTGATTTATAATGTACACCACGTAAGTGGATAAATGCATTAGACCACTGTAGTTGCAATTATGCGTGTATGCATTATTGCATTATAAAATAAGTATATTTTATTACAGCTTTCAAATATGGTTGTTGGCTAAATTAGGCAATTGTTGTTTCGTTAAAGACAAATGTTTAAAATATGTTTACCACCGTAATATTACCACAATATTATTTATCGGATTTATATTGGTTTTCTAACACAAAGGTTGAGTAATGATAAGTATATTATAATTGTAAATCTAGACATTTTTCAGAATTTTCTTTTTGATTTAAAACATAATATTATTACAGTTGGATGGTTGACATATTAAAATATAATCATACAGTAGAATATATTTGTATTATATATTAAATTATTTAAAGTTATTGTATATAGATTTAAGTTCATTTTATTAAAAATAATTTTATATTTTATTTCAATCAAAAATAGGTTAAAATAAATCAAATTTGTATTCATTATTTATTTTGTAAATGTTACATTTTAATAAATTAGAATACAAGGAAAGTGTTTATATGTTTACATATATAATTATGTTATTACTTGCTTAGTTCTTGAAAGGCAAAATTAAAGTTAATAGTTTTCGAAATAGGTTTGAAATGCATTATAAGGGACTTTTTATCACTTTTATTTTTAAATGTAACTAGAATTAACTAACCAATCGAATGGGAAACGTATTGCTAGAACTTAACCACTAAAATAATAAAATTAAAGTAATTTAATATTTATTTTGAATTTTATACTTCCTAAAACAATAACAGTTAGTATAAACACATAAAAATAGCATATAAATAATAATTATTATAATAGACTATATTTAATCATATTAATAAATATTTATTTTATCTACTTTAAATCTGAAATTGTTCAACATTTTACAAAAAAAATATATAATTTATATACGATCCATTTTCAACGGATTATAGTTTAAACCTCAACACTCCGGAAGATAATATGATATCCGTAGACAACGTTAGAAATATAATGGGAAGTCAAACACAGAGACAAACGTCACGAAAGAAAATGTTGGCCATAAAATATAATTTACTACTTTGAGTAGCAGAAAATGTGAACAAAAAACACAGACATTACGATTACAATGGATATTATTATGAAATAGCTTCCAGTTTTTAAGTATACATTAATATTAACTACATAATATTATGTATTATTTATTAAATACTATTATTTTGTGATTAAATTAAAAACCTATTTAAATCGTATTCATAACGTTTAAGAAATCATAACCTTTTAATTCGGGAAAACACATTTAAAAGTGATTCAATATAATATTAATTTTGTATTACATCATACTTACATATCAAAAACAATGGAAAATGAATACGTTCCAAAAACCGCTCCAAAGACTTACAAATACTTAAAAATAGTATGAAATCAACATAAAATGCGCCGGTTAAACGTTAAATATAGTAAAATATCTACTATGTATTAATACCAACTTATCTGCCTGGGATTTTAATAAACTTGTCATCTATAACATGCATAAAATATAACCATAAATAAATAACACAAACGAGAAGTATCAAAACCAATAGCTTTTGCCACATGTTTATTAGTACTGTAGAGTAAATTTTATTTTTTCCACCGTAATTTTATTACGTCATAAAAAACAGGGTTTTTTTAAAATTTTTACAATTTAATTATACTTGTTTAACATAAAATAGATCAATTTTAGGAACAGCTGTATCGTCTGTATCTATATCAGAAGTTTCGTTATTATCGCAAGTCTCGCATGGTTTTTGTTGATAGCGCGTCGTCGTCTACCACGATGTTATGTTTGAAAAAGGCGGGAGGAAGGTTGAAAGTCAAGTTATCTTTTCTGAAATCGGAACCACAACCGCTTGGTATAAAGATTATTCAAAAGAGCTAGTCACTAAAAGGAAATTTCTATCTCTATATATATATACTATTTAGTATATTATATAATATATGAACTGTATATGTATAAATATAATGTACAACAATTTAGTTTATTATATATAGGAAGGTTCGCGATTATTTTCCGTTTGTTTGAGTTAGGTTAGGTTAAATGAAAAAATCGAGAAAACATGGTGGACAGCTCTTTGTGTGAGGTACAAATTATTCCAATGAAGTTTTCAAGAGTTTCTATTGAAGTTTTACGACTTATTTACATATTTTCTATAAGATATTCTTACTGTTTGTCTGTATTTTCGTTGGTTAATTAAAAGCGAGCCCTTCACCGGTTTAATTTAATTTAAAATTCCAATCAACGTCAATCATTTATTTTGATATGGTGGGGTATAGTCCGAAGTTCATTTGAAGTGGCTAATAATAATTTATATATAAAATATACTTTTTCACTAATATTCTGAAAGTTGATATTTATTTTAATATCTTTGCGGTGTTATACCATGCTATAAACAAATAACTATACAATTTTCACGATTTTAGTGAAATACATTGTGTTCACTGATGAAAGGTTGAATTTTATAAGTTGTGCCTTC